ATAATGCTAACATAACAAACAAATATAAATATTGAAGTTGACAACCTTAAATAAAATAAAAGTTAAAAATTAACATTTTGAAATAGAAAAACTTAAAAATTGATATTTTTATTTAGAAATTGACAAAATTAATATTTTTTAAAAAATATATAAAAAATTAATATCTTTATTTACACATTTTCTTGAATTTTCTTTATTTCAATTTTACTATTCATGGAACAATAGTTCTAGCGATCAAACTTCATTTTCTAGATTGTGAAGTGCTGATTCTCTTGACAAACATGGATGAACGTGGCTTAGATTTTGTTGGCATAGATGAGAAGGTAAACTGCTAATTTTATTCTTAGTATTTTTTATTACCTCCACTAATTTGTGAGAATCTTGTCACCGGGTGAGACTAGCTCCGATGGCACTTGTCTTGGAGGTGGAATCTAGCTCGACTTCGTGCGGCACTTAGCTCGGAATTAACTCGTCAACCCGAACCAAGTTAGCCTTCCCCAACATTGGCGTGGCCCTCGTATTGAGCTTGAGGTTAGCATCACACAATTGAAGGTAGGAAGTTGGGAGAAGAAGAGAATTTATTATGATCGCAAGGGAGTGTACAAGAGCATGAGTACAAAGCCCCTCTCTGCACTCACTTACCTAACAGCTCACTCACTCTCTAGTCTACTCCATTCATCTTCCTCTTCCACTCAGGCCACCCCTATTTATAGAAGAGGTCAGGCCTAAGCCCCTTTACAGATGAGGTCTCTAGAACACTCTACACAATTCCCTCATATGTACAATTTCCAGAACATTCTCCACTCTTCCTCCTAAGCGTAGCCTACAATATTCTAGAATCTCCTATTCTAGAATTATGTATAAGGCTCCAGAGGTTTCCCAAATTGAGCTTGGCCCATTAAGCCCATCTAGACCCCTTGTCTGGAACCATCACTGCGCATCCAGCAGCTTCTAGAATTTTCTTGGCTGCTCCAGTGTGCTCCAGCGTGTCTCGACCGCGACCCCGTGCCTCGGCCGTGGCATGGACGCTGCCAACTCGTGCAAGGCTCGCCTCTTTGGCGTTCCATGCCACGCTCGCACCCGTGTCCGTGCCCGTACTCGCGTGCCCGTGGCTGCCGTGGCTGCCGCCCTATGCCACGATGGCCTTGACTTGGTCCCCGAACTCACGCTCCGTGACAATCTGCCCCTACCCCTTTAAAAATTACCCAGTATCTTAACCCCAATGGGTGCAAAGTGACCGAGATGAACGAAAAGGACCGAGGGTGAGTTGCCGAAAAGGCTCCACTTGGCTTTTGTCCACTCATTATTTTTTATATATACTAATATTTTAAATTAATTTCATTGTCATTTTTTTGTTTGTTTATTTAATTTATTGATAATTTTTTAAAATATTATTAAATATCCAGTGGTTTAGAAGATATTAACATAATTGCTATCGCTGAGTGAAGATACTGAAAATTCTCAACTTATAGATATAAGTCAGTGTAGTGTGGTTACATATAATCTTGTCATGTTTAGTCAGTATTTATTGATCTTTTCATTATTTATTAGATGCAGTGGTCAAGTAGTGACCACCAAAAAGATGGTGACGATCCATTAAAAATTAAGTTTAAATGTTTGACTAATCCTGATTTTTACAATAAATCTCATGTATTGATACCTTTTTTTCTGGCAAGAAGAAAGAGACCTTTCAAAGGAAAGATTTTGGATACTACATATTTATTTTTGAATAAATAAACCATATTTCAGTTCTTATTTTCTTTTTCTTTTTCTTTTTTAAGTGAAGAATTTTCATTGAATTGTTTATTTGTAATATTTTGTGATTTTGGCTTCATTCATTTAATTTTATATGTTTTTTTGTTTCGGATTATCATTTCTATTTTTTAATATTGTATTTTATTGTATATGTTTATTTGTTTGTGATACATAATTCCTTCAATATATAATTGTTTAGACATCATCTTAGATGCAATACTCAATTATTTAAGGGACTTCATACAAGTGGTTAATATCATTTTTACGATGAACTTTCGTCTTAATTTTATTGGTCTATAAGGATAACTAGTATCTTTTAATTGGCTCCACCTGCAACTGTTCTGGACAAATTTTCATTCCAACATGGCGGTTTTAGCCGAAATGACCACTTAGGCAGAAGTCAAAAACACCATTTAGGCTAGCATATATAACCTAAGATACCAAAATATAATGAGAAAATTCACTCTCTAACGCACACTTAATGTGAGCTCAAATTTTCATTCAGACTTTCATAAAACTCAACATATTATTCAATGGAATGGCAAGCATGTTTATAGGCTAAAGGGCATTCAATGAAAATAAGAAAACCGTTGGGAGTTGGTGGGATGGGGTGCATTTTGCATCTTGGCAACTTTTGTTTTGTTGACCACAATCACCGGCCTCTATGTTAGTAGGCATGGGTGTTCTTCCTGCTGTAAATAACGTTCTCAAAAACCCATTAATTAAAGGGATATAAAGTAAAAGTGCAATATTTTAGAGTGGTAACACCTTAGGATGTTGCAATAAGCCCGCCCTATTGTTTTGCACATTGCTAAGCAAGATCCATGCAATATGTTTAAACTTAAAAGAGAAACTGGCTATGGTAGCAGTATCTTCAGCATACAAACGAGTAATATTGACCAACAGTTCAACTCAGCTTATTGATCTTCTCTAGAAGCAGGATCCATTCCAGTTGAAGGGCTATCAGCAAAATACTCTTGATGCTTCACATTCACCCCACACTGCATTCAAGAAGGCAAATTATTACTTTAACATCCAAAAAAGAGATAATAAAGAGAGAAATTAAGTATAGTACACATTACACAGCACATAACATAAAAGGAATAATATATTCCTCAACATCTGGACTAGTCTGTGCATCACACCATGAAAATGAGTAAAACAAAAAGGGAAGGATAAGGAAGAAAAGTTATTTGCATGATGAAAAATCCAGATGAAGTTGGCTCTGCTTGTTGAAACAGTCCTATCATATATGTACACATTGTCTAAATGCTTTGTCCTAAGCAGTATGGGCAAACACTAGTATGGCTTAGGGGAAATTAAAAACATTCCAACAAAAACCTACCCCTTCAGATAAGCTTAGAATGTAATGCAACATCTATAATCAATTATTTATGAGAAACTAGCATAAAACTGTCTCAAAACCAAGGTTGAGAAAGAAAACTTGAATTCTTACCTCACGCAGTGCCTTTGAGAGGTCTTCCATTGTCAAAATTAGGCGCTTATCCTGCCCCCAACAAGACAGTCAGAGCTGATAAAACTTAAAAGCAATTGGGAAATTCAGAAAATAAACATAGATGGTGCACCTTTTGCTGCTTCTCTCTTTTATCCTTGACTACAGCACCCTGCCTTGCCTTACAATGCCTACATTAGGGTAAAGCAGACATTACTAACTTCAACATGGACAGATTAAAAAATGAAATTACTAAATAGTGTACTGACTACCAAGTTCTCCAATACATAGTGACAAAAAGTTTTCAACATTTCCCTAGGCAAAGCCATAAATAACAGGACACAGTTCTCCTGAGAAACTCTACAGCAACTATGCTTCTTGCATTCATTCCATAATTCATATTAGAGACTTGGAGCTTAAGCATGAGAAATTAGTTTATTTTATTACTCCTAGCATCAAATATCTTGAGATACTGTCAATTCTGCAAACACTGTCAGCCTTATTAGGCCAAGCAAAATATGCCATATGCAGTAAGCCTGAAAAATGGAACAGGGGAAGTAAAGGCAAAAGTGTAGAGAAAGAGTTTTAGTATCATACTGAAGTGCATCACTTGCCACCTCTGCAACAAACTTCTGCGTTGCAACAGCAACCAGCCTTGTTCTGCAAAAGTAAGCAAGAAACTAAGATGAAATTTTACCTTTATATATAACATAAAAAAAAGGCAACCTACAACATGTCACATTTAAGGAAAAATCCAGCACATTAAACTTTGTGAATTATATCACAGGCAAAAACCCTTAAGCTGCTTTCTTCCCTTGGTTGCTCAAAAAACTCAGAAACATAAATTGCAATTTGTAAGGAGAATTTGCAAAGTTGCCTTCAATTTTAACCCATAATTCAGCACTAAATATGCATGTACACCGAACAAGCTTTGTTGCCATGAAAGGAACTACTCCATTCACATATGTTACTCAGTCTCTCAGTAAAGAGTTCAAAATTTTTATGTTTCATTCACTGAAACAAAATAATCCCTCAAGAAACCCTAATCCATAATTCTGGAAAGGTGAAGGTGGGGTCCTGAAAGTTTAATTTCTTAAACCAACATAGCTTCAAAAATTTTTATATCAAAATTAATAATACTCATTACTGAAGAATACCTTATCATCTACTTTCCTCAACTTTCTCGGCAACCAAACAAAGAAGCAAAAATTATCAAGCAAAAAGAAATTACCAGGCAAAAAGGAGAAATACCTACAATCGAACATCGGGACATTGAAACCCACTCTTCGCTAAGTAATGCTCCACAAGTTCGTCAGGTATCTGCAGGAAAATAAATCGCACATCAATTTCTCGTTTATTCAAATTCGTCTCTTTGGAGAGGGAAAAAAAAAAAAAAAACGCTGAAAGGGAAGAGAGAAGCTACAGTTGGAGTATAGTCCATGAGCGATGCCAGGAAATCGGAGAGAGCAGCGTCGTCATCGTGCTTTCCATCGCTTGATTGCTGGCCGTGGTTCATCTTCTCTTTCGTCGAGTTCAACCGTCCTTCGCCGCGTTAGTGCCGGCGAAGCGGACATATTTATAGGACCGGCTCAGTTAGATTTGGAATTTGGGCCCCAACTCAGGGCCTGTTGACTGAAAACTCCGGGCCTGAGAGCGGAGTGGACAATAAATATTCATTCACTAGGAAAGACAGGCCGACGTTGGACAGATCCAATCATTATCATTCATTGGGCTTGAACAATCATGCCAAAGTTATATTCGTATTAATTTCCGAAATTGTCCCAGAATCAAGATTCTGAATGCTGAAAATATTAAATTATTAAAATTAAATTAATTTTAATTAATATTTGTATGATTATTTTGATAATTATACAAAAAGAAAAGTGTTTGTATATCTAAAAGATTAGGAAAATTAAGAACTCTCAATATTACGTTGTTTCAAAAAGTTGTTCTTAAAAAAATATAAAGCAACCTACTTTTAAATTAAAAATGTGATTATTTTCATTTTTTTCTATGTAATTTTGAGACATTTTTTATTTTTTAAAAGTCCAATTGAGAAGCAATCATATTGAATACAATACTTTTCCCAAAAATTATACTATCAGACATTAAAATAATTTTTGAAGTAGCACAAACATAAAAAAAAAAGCCACCGCACAGCCACAACATTGGCTACCGTTTTATCTTTTATTGCATAAGGAACAGAACTGGTATCTCAGGTTCTACAGATTATTTCATGAACCGCAGACATCCTATGCATTTACAGTTAACAAGAAACATATTAACCGCTTCATATTGAAAGCTCTATATTGGTCCATAAAAGAGAGCAATTTCAAAATCCGATTAGTCTATTTTAACCTTTTTTTTTTTCCTTTTAGAGTGAAAACGAAGACCGTCTATCTTGACTTTTGCTGGCTATAACGTTGTATCCCATAGACATCGATGATTCCCGGGGGAAAAACGGGATCAGTTGCAGCTCTAACAGCAACTTTTGCCACCGCAGTGACATTCACTGGAGGAGTGAACAGAGGCCCCACCAGCGGAAGCTTGTTCAGTGGTTTTGTGTGTTGAAGAACCTGCAGAAATTTTAGTTTACCACTTAACAGCTCGAATTTTGTTGGAAACAAACATCAATAGGTAGAAATTTGTAGTATCCAATAAAAGAAACCAGAAAAATTCAAGATTTCTACCATTTCCAGAGGTGTGCCGACAACACCAAGAGGTATCTTCAGTTTCCCAACACTGCGAGTTCCATAAATGAACCCAGGCCTTAAAATCATCCCTGAAACACGTGGAATTTTCAGGCATGTAAAGGGCCAGAACTATTACTTTCAGTTACAGGAATAGACAAACAAGAAGCTATTTTTCAGCTGTCTTGTTACAAGATTGGATAACTTCATCTACTTTGTCTTCTCACAGTTACCAACAACAATGAAATGCTAGGCAGAGAACATTACACAGAAAACTCACCTCCATAAGGGAATTTGGTCAGTAACTCTGTCTCAGCAGCTCTCTGGGCCAGATAAGAAGCAAGAAGGAATTCCAAGGACAAATATAATTAAGAAGTGTGAAGATTTAAGCAAATGAAATGCTAATTACAATTCAAGAGTGAAGAGCTTCTAAGTTCCAATACAAGTAACAAGTATGGCATAAGTACTGTAGAACCAACTCAATTCAACTAACCTTTCCCTCATAATATCCCTGCAGTAGATAGTTTGCTAATCCAAAATCTGCAGCAGAAATATAAACAAATTTTTTTACACCTGCAAGTCAACATGAGGGCCAATCATCAAAGGAAGCAAACAAATAGAACAGTAAACTTCAGTGGAAAAAATCTAAATTTAGAAAAAAGACACAAACTCTGACACAAAAATATGATGTGAAGATCTCGTTTTCACCCTTTCTTTCCCACAAGTAGGGAGGAAGAAATAACATGGGCTTAGACAACAAGGGGGCAACTCAGAGAGATGGATTTTTCCAAGAATGCAACCATATAAGATAATCCTGATCAGCTACAGCAACTTTCTTAGGATGGACAGCCATGATGATAAAAGACATATGTCCATATGTTATATATAAGCACTCTCACTCTACCTTTCTCTGAAGCAGCTCTAATCGCATTGATGTTTGCAGTCCCATTAATCTTATACATGTAAGAATTGGAACCAAAGCCACCAACACAGGAGATCTGAAAAATTGAGTTTAAATTCAGCAAAGCAATAGAGATCTATTGATTGAAATCTTGAGCAAACAAAAGATAATATTAAACAAAAATGAAGCCATGGTTGTCTGAGTCAGTTAGTGCATATTATTATTTTGATCAACAAACTAAAGCTGTATTAACAAGTTAAAGGACTACATACAACTGATGTCACTCCATTCAAAGCTTCATTCCATGAATCAGAAGCGAGAAGGTCTCCTTTGTGCCATATCACATTGTTAACCCAAGAATCATGCAAAGATGACCTGCCAGACCTACAGAAAACAAGCAATAACATTAAGTAGGGCAAGCTGTGGAAAAGAATCGGGAAATAGAAAGGGAAGAGATGAAGGGAAGAGGAATAAGAGTTTGTTAATTGTTATGAGGAAAAAGAGCAAAATAACAGGAATCTTAACAAACTAACGATGTAGCAAAAGCCTGCCAAAGATCCCAACACCAACTTAAAAAGTATCTACAAAGAGGTCTTCACATTCTGTTACAAAAAAGATTTAAAACTAAAGAAGATGTATACCTGCTGAGGCTAGCTACAGTCAAACCGCGATCAAGGGCTTCTCTGCAAATATGAGAGCCAACAAATCCATTCCCACCCAACACAAGCAACTAAAAAACACATACAAATAAGTCCAAATATCTGTTTAAAAAAAAAAACAATAACAACAACAACATTTGAAAAATTCACAATGATCCAACATTCTTGACTGCAACTCACCTTCTCCGTTGGAGGGGGCAGTACATCCACAGTCTCTGCTTCTTCAACTTTAAATGGTTCATCAACCTTGTTAGAATTAGAATCTGAATTATTAGCTTCTGCTACTTTAAATGTTTCATCAACCTTGTTAGAGTCTGTCGAAAGAAATCGTCCATTCGTGGATGCAGAGACTTTACTGTATTTGTATCGATAACAATGAACAATTGCCAAAAATAAAAAAGACAAATAGCAACCTACATTAGGCATTAATAATTCAGCCTTTTATCTCAACTAGAAAACTGAATCCATAAAAAATAATGGATAACTCTTATTTAGTAACTAAAATTCCAAAAATCTAACTCCAAATTTCTACCGTAACACCGGTACTCAAATTAAAAAACGAAATTAAATCATGACATAGCAGAAGTTGTTCCATGAAAACGAGAATCAAAGAAGCTAAACTAAACATTGGAGAGGCGAAAACTTACTGGAATCCAGAGATTGATGACCTAGAATGGATCAAACGGGAGACAACAGTCCTCATTTGAACTTTTGGAATGGAAGAATTTGAAGCAGACTTGAGATTGAAACTGTGTTCGGCGATCAGAGCTGGAGAAATTCGGAGATCGCCGGAGAGGTGGGAACAGTCAGGGAAACGAGGAACGGCTGTTTAGGCGTTTAGTTTTGGAGTTTTGGGAGAAGAGGGAGAACAGATGGCGCGTAACGGTGATGACAGCAACCGGAGCAGATGTGGCTCATTTTCAACCTATGGCAGGGAATGCGTTGGGTGTTGGTAGAGTGGACCGGAAGGACGGAGATTCGGTAGCGTTAAATGGGCCCGCGTCACATAGAGATGGATGGGCCTATGTTTACCGAGTATAGATTGTAGAACTGGGTTAGGCCTAAAAAACATCTAGCTAGAGTGTTTGACAAGTTAGGCCCAAGAAACTTTGGGTTTCATCTGGACCACAAGAGTTCTTCCCCCTGGGGGTCCAAGGTGTCTCCATTGCTTGGCTAGTTGGTTTGTCTTTTCAACTTCTCTCTTCATTTTTTTTCCCTCAATCATCATCTAGCCAATACCCATTATGTCAACGAGGAATCGGATGGCGGAGCATTCCAAGATTTTTTTTTTTTTATTGTAAAATGAAAGGTAATTATCTCTCATCCTTTATTTCACCCCACTTGCATACTATGCGATTCAAATTCAGAATTTCTTATTTTCAACAGAAAAAAATAATCACTGAATTATTTAAGTCGTTGGTTAAGATTTTTAGTTCTTCTTCAAAACTTATACATTAGATTCAAATCTTGAAATAAATAATTTTAGTAACTAAATTTACAAATAAATAAGTGTCATTTTATTTAAAATTCAAATTAACAAAATAATCCATTCAAATTGGACAAAACCTCTTTTGCTACTTCTAAATATAAACCAGTGTAGTGGGATTAGTAATTGTTTAAGTTTTTAAAACCAGTATGTATATACACAAAACAAAACACAAAGTGCAAAAGAGAAAAGGATGTGTGTGATTTAGAAGAAAGGTTTGGCCTAATATCCGTCTAATTGGTGGATGTTGGTGCCCCGAATTTTAATGCTCTTCCTTATCTATAGAGAAAGCTATACGTCATATATAGTCCCCTCCCTAATCCCACTAGGTTAGTTAGCAACCAAAAACCAACTTCTCTATCTCTTCTCCTCTCCATACATATCTTTTTTTCTTTTTCTTTTTCTTTTTTTCTATTTTGCGTTGTGACCAGAGATTCCTACAAAATAATCCCTTTTATAAAGTCATCTTTCATGTAATGAGTAGTTTAATTAGTTAGGGACACAAAACGTTGATTAATTGTGGATGAATATGGCCCAATACTAGTGCCATATCCACTACTACATGTTTTTGTGCCTTAGATAATAGTATATTATTATACCAATTCATAGTGTCATGCCAACAATTTCTATGTTGATAATGATCAGATACAGTAAAATGTTCTATCCTTTTCTAAGTTCCAATGAGTACTTTATTAGTACTAACATATCCTATCCTCAAACATTATTCAATAAAAAAAAGGCATATATCCATGATAAAGCACTACAGAGGAATCGCACCGAGCCCTTCGGACCAAGTAACAATAGCCATTCATGGTGCATTCCCCCCTCCCTAGAGCTGGGGTTCGAACCCAACTCTTTGTAAAAATCTGTTCAAAAATAAAAAAGCACTACAGAGGAATCCAATATGAATTGAAAAATTATTTGCTGTGACTACAAGGGAGAGAGAGAAAGATCAAGGGGAAGATATTAATTGATACGGAAGATCTATTTTTTTAATATTATTTTAATCACACATTATTTATGGGAAAAAAAATTTTGTATAATTTTTTTATCTTATTTTTTTATATAATTTAACGTGTTATTTAAATGATTTATTTTTTTAATTCATGTGAGACTTGTGATATTAAATGCATCAACTCATTTAATAACATGTAAAAGTTGTATAAAAAAATAATATTAAAAAATTATATTTATAGCACCACCTTTATTCATGTTAAAGTTAAAGAATTTACATTAAAATAAAAAAGTTCTACTCGTTTAATTTAAACTTAAGTTTCTAAATAAGTCAAGATCAAAACCAAGCTTGTGCTGCTTCAAGGTGAATAATAAATTAAACTCAATGTTGGCTCATTAATTGATATATATTAATCAAATGAGCCCTTTTACACGATGTGTATGCATCAAAATTGATAGATACAACCTAAACAATGTAGCTAAATTTAATTACAAGTAATTCCATGCTTATCATGTGATTAATTAGGTTGTATCTAGCTGCTGATCGGACTTAAAAACTAGTTTAACCGTCTTAAGATGGTGAATTAATCCACTGATTAATGATTACAAATCGACTGGTAGATAATTAATTAATGATTAGTGCTAATTAAGTATAGAATGGGATATATAGAAGTGCTCAAGAGGAAACTTGGTGCCATCCAAGTGGCTTTGCGTGAAAAGAAACGAATAACAATTGATGCCAAAGAGAACGAAGCATCAAAAGAAAGCATATTGTTTAGAAGGTAAAGATATGAATAAATACAACACTAATAATACCTTTTTGGTGCATATATCAATGACAGATTATAAACATCAAAATCCTAAGGAACCATATCTTGTCATATATTTTCTTAAAGAAATGAATGTGTCCCCGGAAAAGTGAGTGGGATGTAATGAAAAATAGGCGTCCATATATATATATATATATATATGCTGTAATATGATTAAAGGGGCCCATGTAGTGGAGTGATGATGTCCCATGGCCCTCGCTTGCAGTCCGGATTTTCGACGGTTCTATGCACAGAGCCAACCCGCGCCAAAGTCCGAGAGCAACAGGACCTGAGGGGCGGAGACGGTGGCAGGCAGAGCATAAAGTTGTGGCACTTATGGTGGCGGTTTTATGGTTTTTGCTACGGACGCTAAAAGTTCTAGGGTCCCAAATCCGATACAACACCCACCTGAGAGTCTGAGACCGACCACCACTGGAGCTTGATCCCTTCTTCTTACCAACAACTATGTCTGACGGGTTGAAACATTGACTCATTTAATGCCTAATTAATAATGCAAAAGCCGACTCCAATTTCCTGGCTACTACAAAAAAAAGCTAAGAATGCGTTTCGCTTTTGAGTTTTTGATTTCTTTACAAACATATCCATCAGTTTTTGGACTCTTTCCTTCCTATCTGCACAATCCATGAATTTCGAAAAGGTCAGATCCTCCTCTCCAAGTCACCAGTCATCACCCATCTGAGACCGACCTCCCTCTCCGATTCATCACCCACCTTTTTTTTTTTTTTTTTT